GGTTGAATTTGCGTATTTAAATAGGTAATTCTTCTCCCAAAGGTTGAGTCCTCAACCCCAAGGGCGCCCCACACTCCGGCCCGACAGAGCATTGTGGGAAGTTGTAAATCACGGTGACTCAATGGTTCAGTAGACAGGGCCAAATGCTGATACGCACAAGGAATCTGCCCACTTTGGACATAATTCTCGCACTGCCGCCGCCGAGGTTCAAACATTGGTCTCTTCTCCCAAATACTACCCACTAAACCATTGAGCTAAGCCCGTGCGGGTTAAATAGGTAATTCTCAGTTTACAAATGCAAGATAATATAATCAAGATTGATTATAATTGTCAATAAAATAATTGTATAGGTATATTTGAAACCAAATACGGGACATAAGGGAGAACACATAAAAATTAGGGCATAAAATATTAAATATATACTAATATTGTTTGAGGAGATTCCGACATTAGGATTTGTGGTTAAGTTCTATTAATACTTTAATATTAGAATTAGATTAATGGTGTAGTTATAATTCTATATTAGACTTTAATATTAGAATTAGACTAACGGTGAATTAACAGAAAAGTTAAATGGATAATCATATAATTAAGGATAAATTAGAAAATCTTAAAAGAAAAAAATTATAACCTGAACAATATGAACCATTCATTTGATTTAATAATTTGGGGGTCATTTTTTTCTACCCAATGTTAATAATTAAATAAATTCGCTGGTCAAATCCGCTAGTATAATCCGCTAACTGCGAATTGTCAAACAAGGACATTGCGAGGTAGTTCTCACTTCAATTTGTTGTGTGATTTGAATACTCTCTTTGTCACAAAATCTCTCAAAGTAGTTAATATGGTTGGCTTTATTAATTATATTTTTTTTTTAATTTTTTCATGGTATTAATAAAATACTTGGTAAATAAATATATAGCATTATTTTGTATTATAACCTTGATATTTAATTAGAAAAATAGTGCACAAAAACATAATAGATAATGTAGTGAATATAATCAATTGATGAATTTGAATGTAAAAATTTTTACATTTGGGAAAAATAAAGACAATTTAACTAATGAAAATATTTCTTTTAATTAATTTATTGATAATTAATAATTTTTTTTTACTGAATTAAGACATTGTAAGGACAATGTAGCGAATATAATCAATTAATAAATTTGAATATAAAGAATTTTTATATTGAAGAAAAATAAAGACAATATAACTAATAAAATTATTTCTCTTATTTAATTTATTGATAATGAATAAGTTTTTTTGAATAAAGGCATTGTGGACACATAATTCTAAATTAAAGAAATGCATATCTATAATTTTTTGTTGTAGCTACTAAATTATTATCTATATAATTTAATAAGAGTAAAATAGAGTACTAATTATGCCAACTTTGATTGGGATGAGGTTCGAACCTAAGACCTTTTTTTTTATTTATTTATTTTTTTATTTTTTATTGAAATCAATGAGTAAGTTAACGGTGAACTAACGACAATTCTTAAAATTTTAACGGAATTAGTAACGGTGTGTGGGTATTTTAGGAAATTTAGTGTAAAATTTAAATCTGATCAATCTTTTAATCAATCTGAGCCATTCATTTGATTAAAATCTGTGACCGTCATTTTTTCTACCAATTATAGGCCTAACTCTCTTGGGCTCTTATTAGTATAGTAGAGAGTAGATATATAAAATTAATTAATTAATTAATATATATAATATGTATAATATAATAATATAAATAATAGTATCGGTTATTCGGGGACTGCGATTATTACACCTTCATAATCGAATAGTCGAATAACTGATTTTTTTTTGCCTTATAACCGTTAACCGAAATTATCCGTCGGTTCGGTTATCAGTTATCGGTTTTTCGATAATTATACTTACCCTATTGGCGTCATTGTTGTCATGTTGTGATGAACAAATTTATGTTATTTTCTTATGAATAAGTATTTTAAGTAGATAGCAATTAAGTTATTAACATAGTCACATTAGAGTTTTGATTTTAGGGACACTTCACACATGATTAAAAAAAAAAAAAAAATTAGGCGGGCTTTGGCGGGGCCCGCGGGCCTAAGGCGGGGCGGGGCGGGCTGTCCCTACCTAGGCCCGTATTCTTGGCGGGCTTTTTAGCCCGTCCCGCCAAAAGCATTTAGAAAAAAAAAGTTCTGTTAGGTTCTTAGTAGCAATCGGTGACCGTTTCTTCTTTTAAGCCCGCATTGACCGCTCTACCAGTAACCCACCCAATTGCACATAACACACTACCCACAAAAAAAAAAAAAAAGAAAAAAAAGATGACATGTACTGAAGATGAAGATAATGATCATAATGATACCCAAAAGAGAATTAAGAAGAGTTAGTGAAATTTAAATCAAAAGTAGTATTTATTTAGACTATCGCTTTTAAACTAAGTATTTAGACTAGCGTTATTATAAAGTTGCAAACATTTATTTTAGTGCCAATTATAATCAATCTCTCATATATTATCTTGCATTTATATACTTTAAATTACCGATTTAAATAAACAAAATTAACATTTATTTACCTATGCATGAACATCTACTATATAATATTAAATGCATTTATATACTTTGAAATACTTATTTAAATATAAATATTGAGCATTATCTCATTCGCGCAAAGCGCGTAAAAAAACTAGTATATATATATATATATATATATATATATATATATATATATATATATATATATATAAAATGCGGCCCATATTCACCAATCCCAAATAATCAACAATAACAAAATAGCGTAAAGACAATTATGTTTGTATAATTGTTTGTGTAATACAAGAATGATGTTAGAACAAGACAAAGAATATGCTTTTACTAAGACAAGAATTTCACTATTTAAATTAACTTCTCTAACTATTTCTCCACAAATAGAACACTCCGCAAGACTTAGTCTTCACCCAACCGACATGTTGGTAGACCTTGAAGGCCAACCATGGAAGCTGATCTCGGCTTTGCGGCTTCTGCTTCCTATGTTGTCGAGTACCTTGATAGCGGAACTTGAGTCATTGGCGACCCCTAGACCGTGAGCCAACATGACCACCACTTCCTTGGGTACCTTTGGTTAACCCCAAGTCTCACAAGTACATCTTTCGAGTTTATGTCAAGCCAATCCAACCTTCTAACACGTTGACCTGGCCAAGGTTAATCCTTAATCTACATACTTTGTCTTTAGTTCACGACACGCCTCTTGTGCATAAAAACATAGATAAAATCTAATATATCCATCAATACTCATACCATCACATATACTATCGTTGTCTTTATCTAATATCTTCCTATCACCACCATTACTTATATTATCTATTTATATATACACCACTACACCTAGTCACCTACATTCAGTATCATATTATTTTTTAGTTTATCCACTATCATCTTTCTACTATATTTCTTATAAACTAATATCAATATAATCTATTTACATCTACTTAGGATAATATATTATATAACTTAAAAACTCAAAATCCTATTTATCAAAATGAATATGTTTGGTTATTTGTTCAAATAATGCCCATGTGTGTGTTAGGTTATTAGTTCAAATATTTGTAGTCACTGGTCATGGTATATCTAGGTGGCTGTATCAATGTATTAAATGAATAATTAATCAAATATTTTCATCACCCAAAAATATTTTAAATATTGCATTTAAGAGGTTTCACTCCAAATTCAAATTTTTATATTTAGTTGGAAAAATGATCAAAAGAGACCATTGAACTTTAGTTGAATGTGCAATTAATCCTTAAACTTTAAAAAAGTGCAATTAAAGTATTAGACATTTACACTTATTATTTTAGTGTGTCTAAACCTAGTAGTTGGTTATTCACCTGGAATAACCAGTTATTTAAAATTCTAACGACATCCTGGCGAATAAAAATTTCGGCGACCATCAAAATTTAATAAAAAAATTAGGTGACCTTCTCAACCGGAAAAAATAACATGCCAATTGTTTTCTCCGGTGGAGAAGGCGACCAGATCTAGTCGCCTTCTCTAATGGAGAATATGACCAGTTCGGTCATCTTCTCCATTAGAGAATGCGGCCAGACCAGTAGTCTTTTCCGGTGGAAAAGTCACTGGAAATTGTTGTTGTTGTTTTTTTTTTTTTTTTTTTGTTTTTTTTTTTTTTGTTTTTTTTTTTTTGTTTTTTTTTGTTTTTGTTTTTTTTTTTGGTTTTGTTTTGTTTGTTTTTTTTTTTGTTTTTGTTTTGTTTATTTATTTATTTATTTTTAAACGGTGGTGAACAGTGGTTATTGACGGTCTATGATGGTCAACGTCGATAATTTTACCGGTAACCGCAAGTAATTAGACTTATTTGACTCATTTTGACAAGTTCAAGTGTTTAATTGTACTTTTTTAAAGTTCAAATTACACTTTTTTTTTCTTTTTTTTTTTTAATGTTCGAGTGACCATTTTTCCTATTTAGAATAATACTCTGAAATCACCGACCTAACTCGATACACACACATGTATGCAACACTTAATATTATCATAATTTATTACTAGCATTTTAAGGTTTAAATTAAATGAATTTAAAAATGAATTTCAAATAACCTTGTATTTTTTTTTTACTTAAAAAAATAAATCCCTATGAATACGTTTATTTATTTATTTTTTTAAAGGTAAGAAAAATGCGAAAATGGTAGGAAAAATTGAAACCGAAACAAACAAAACGTGGTATTAACGCGTTTGAAGCGCCAAAAGGCAAAAGCCCTATAATACGCTCACTTTTCTCACCTCCACAGCTACACGTTTCAATCGCTTTCTATGAGCGACACGAGACAGCAGGCGGTGGCTTCTCTATATTTTTGTCTGCATCAGATTTCAATCTCAAAATTATCTGCATCGGAGCTTTTCTAGGGCTCCATCTCCTCTCGCCGGAAGATCGAAGCCATGCCGAAAGGGTGAAATCTCGTTTCCTATTTTCCTTTTTCTTTTCTGCCGATTCAATTCAACGTTTCAAATTTCAATCAGCTTACGGATGCCTCCACCCTCGCCTCATTTGCACCATTTTACCTTTTTTTCTTATTTCGTTACGAATTTCTTGTTTTTGCCTTTTGGATTTTGTTACGGAGATGATTCTGTCCTTCATTCCTATCTCCCGGATGGGCATAGATGAGTTGAATAAGCTTACCAGTTGGTATTTTGATCCGTGGCAATGTGATACTGCGGTTTGGATGAATTTACAGAATTCATTATTAGGGGAATCGGATTATTTTATGAATTGCATATTGAATTTTATTTTGTCCGGTTCAAGTTTGATTACTGTATGAATACCTGAGGCTGTTCTTTTAATATTGCTTGCTTAATGCTAGTACTTTGATTCCTAAACCATATTCTCCATTACTTTGATCTATGGGTTGCTTCTTAGCAAATTTTAGTTTGACAGCTCATGTTTGTGTTTATAATGTCTCCAGGGTTCCTTGCAAGTTTTTTGCACAGAGGGGATGTCTAAAAGGGGAGCACTGTGAATTTTTGCATGAATTGAGAACACCTCCAAATAATGTAAGAATTCTTGACTATTTTCTCGGGTAATCATGCCATTGATTAATTTTATCTACACTTCGGCTGTTACAAACATGACCTTTTTTATTTTATTTTATTTTATTTTTTTAAATTTTTTTTGCAGATTTGCACCTATTACCAAAAAGGAATATGTGCTTTTGGAAGCAGGTGCAGATATGAACATGTTAAAACTTCCCAATTGCAGTCTTCTGCCTCATCTTTTTCAGGGCATACAAAACCAACTTGGAATCAGAAGTTGGGGCCTCAAGATTCATTACAGAGTGATGGCATAGCTGAGGCGAAGATTCATAATCCAGCTGATCAATCAATCTGCTCATTTGCTGCTGCTGGTAATTGTCTGCGTGGGGAAAAATGTTCTCAAATACATGGGGATTTATGTCCCACTTGTGGGAAACAGTGCTTGCATCCTTTTAAGCCTCAGGATAGAGAGGAGCATCTAAAAGCATGCAAAAAAAGGCAATGGCACCTGGAAATACTAAAACATAGTCAAGAAATAGAGTGTAGTGTGTGCCTCGAGCGTGTTCTATCCAAGCCAACAGAAGCTGAACGTAAATTTGGAATCTTATCAGAGTGTGACCATCCATTTTGTGTAGTGTGCATCAGGAATTGGCGTAGTAGCTCTCCATCATCTGGGTTGGATGTAAATTCTGCATTAAGGGCATGTCCCATATGCCGAAAACGATCTTATTTTGTCATTCCTAGTGTGATTTGGTACAACACAAAAGAAGAAAAACAAGAAATTATTGATAGCTACAAAGCAAAACTCAGGTATTTGTTTGTTGTATGCATTTTTTGGGAGGGGGGTTGGGGGCTTTCTGATATTGATAGCTAAAACTCTTTTCTCACATCAGGATCTTTCTTCAATTAAATGTTATTATGATTCTGATACCAGAAGTAATGATGAAAGTGGGATGCTTGACACTACATTATGCCTTACACAAGTTTGAGAACTTGGCTTTTAAAGTTTAATAGTCAAGATAAAGAAAATCTGCCATTTTCTTTCTTAACTTGAATTGGAGAAGAAGCATAATATCAGACCGCCTTTTACCTTTGGGGAGGGGGAGGGTGGGGGAGTTGTTATTATGTTTCTTTTCTTCCCAAAAGAAAATGCCCTCCATCCAGTATTTTATAGTTATCCTGTTGTAAGTTACATCTATAATTTTTTTTTTCTTCAGGACTATCGATTGCAAACACTTTGACTTTGGGAATGGGACTTGCCCATTTGGGACTAGTTGTTTCTACAAGGTACTGTATTTTAAAATTTTGATAGATGTATGTAGAATACTTGTTACATTAGTTTCACTTTTGTTATAATGGTCTTGAGTTGATTGAAAATTTGCATTCATATGGTAATGGAAGGCTAGATTTTGGCATTCGAAGTTTAACTTTGTTGTCTCACTCTGTCCCCTTTTATCAAAAAATGTAAATTAGAAATTGTGTTACCTTTATGAAATATATATATATGATCTCTTAGCCTAAGGGTGTGTCTCTACATGGTTTTAGAGCTGTAATTGAGCTAAATTGAGTTAAGCCTAGCATTATCAGGTGTGGCTTGTAACAGATCCACCCACCAACTATAACCCAGTTGAATTAAACTAGCCAGGTCAAATTGATTTGTTAAATGGTTTGGTTCAAGTTTTCACTAATAGCTCACCATGCTGTTCACTGCGAATTGATGATTGCTGAGCTACTTATTGGAATTTCATTCTGTATGATTGGTTTACCACTTCTTTGATGGATAACATCTGTTCTCTTCCAGCATACTGTCAAGCCTGGATCAATGATGTGGAATCGTGCTCTGATGCCCGATTCATTTGGCTCAAGGTTTCCAGACATGGATGAAGTAGGACCCAGCTCTGATACAGATGTTGATGGCTTAGCAAATTTGTTTGAGCACCTGTACTTGCCACATAGACCAGGAGGACTTCAGGAGCAAGAGGATTCTAGTGATGAAGAATTATATGAATTTGCCGAGGCCATGTCTTTTCTGCTATGCCTGCATGGTTCTGATACTAGTGACTTTTCAAGTGACGAGGAATAACAATATCATATCCTTGAGATTGATGTATACACACATCCCTTGAGATTTATAAGAATGGTTACATCTCTTGATGTGTCTCTGACTCTCTGTATGGATTTATGTGTTACTAGTCCTGTAAACTAATTGTGGCAGACTGGTTTTTGATGAAATGTAGTCACGAAAACAATTATTATGGCATAATATGTGATGTATATCTTGGTATTTCTTCAACTGGAAACTTACAGAGGTTACATCATTAGGGCATCCAATTGTGGATATCTAAATATTATTACTCTGACTAATGGAGCAGGAATACAGGTGTTCCCTAAAAAATTTTAAGCCTCCTAGCTCAACATTTGCCTACTTTTCTCATTTCCCACTCGATTAGTTTACTATTATCTATTTAGTTAAGAGTCATGCTATTTTGTTGTCCAGGTAATTTTAATGATAATTGAAGTTTTCTGAATTTCCTGGCTCAGCAAGCCACAGACAATTATGTGTACATTTTGTTCTATTGTTTACAGCAAGCACATGGTGATGGTTGTCTGGACTTTGAATTGGATTAGTTCTGTGAAATCTTGGATCTGGAGATGGAACTTGAGTGATAAATATATTCAGTAGGTTTCTTTATCTGCCTATTGATTCTCTCCACTTTTTGAGAAGATAAGACAATCTTTTGTCTATATCTCTCTCTCTCTCTCTCTCTTTCTAAACTGATGCTGTTTTCAGGCTGAGAGCTTTGCTTGTAAGGTGAACATTGGTCTTACAATTTCAGGGTACGTTCAGAAATTTCAATCTGCCATGTCTCAGTGCTATATTTTTTTTGTTTAGCAACTTACCAGTATAAATGTTGTGTTTTCTCAGTGATTTATGTGATTAATGTTGTACCCAGAAAACAAGTTTTAGTGTGGTTATGCTGACAGTTTACATTGGTTACTTTAAATGACCAACCTCAAAATATCTGGCTTTGAGATCTTTTCTGTTAACATGACCTGCATTTATGAAGTCCCAAATTCTCAATATAATTAATGCAACAGTCTCATAATTGAATTAGGTATCAAGAATGCATGATATAAGAAACTAGTATTATGCTTTAGAGAACTGGAAACCAAACTTTAGTTTCTAGTTAAATTACTACTATGGGTATACATTGTGTAACTTGAATAGTAGATTACAGTTAAATTAACATGTTGTACACCCTAATTGTCAAAATAGCTGCTTGAGGACTTGTGCGGTGAGAAAGTTAACATTTTCTTCCGCTTATTCTTGCAGGATTTAATGGCTTGAACCAGCAGACTGTTACCTGCTAGATTTTTCAAATGCCATTGGAGTTCTTTCAATGTTATCTTCCCTTCTTCAATGTCCTTTTGGTATTTTGCTATCGATTGCTTGTCATGAGGCAACATAAGTGAAAGTTCAAAAAATAGTGCTGAAATATGTGCAGGTATTTCTACTCTTTTAGTTGTTGACAGTACATTGAAGCTGGTAATTAATTCTGGTAAAATTTGGGCTTTCATGTGGCTATTCCAGATAATGTACTTTGTTGGAGAAACTAAACTGTCAACCCCAGAATCAAACTCTTCGGAACTTGGATAGCATTGAGTAGAACCCGGTTGAACAACTTCTGCATTCCCCAGCAACACCCTGCAAAACAGGAGATGTCGCAACCCTTCTGCATCAGGAATTGTGGATTTCAAACAGTTGAGGACCAACTTGGATGGAGTGAGATGGATGCCTCGGCCATGTGTCTCATTCATTACGGGATTAACAAAACCATGAGAAAGTATGTTGAAAATCTGCTCCTTTGGAGCTACATACCAAGCAAAATTCTCATTCGGGTTCCCTCCCCTTTTTATCTTCAAGCCATATTTATACATAAAGAAATTTTGAAGCTTTTCTCGGTCTCCAGGGGTTGTGTAAGGACTGTACTCTTTTCTATGCACACTCTTCAGTTTTGTGGACTTCCCCAGAGCTCCCAAACTCGAAACTAACTCTTCTTTGGTCACCTGATAATCTCTTTCAGATTTGTCAATGGTGACAAGAAGATCACAGCTGGAGCTATCGTGATTATCTGTTCTGTATGTTGAAGTTGCTGTGCTGCAACAATCGAAATCAATCTTCAATACATCCTTGACAGTCATCTTGTTCTGTAGATGAAGATTGAAGAAGAAAGAGGCTTTGCTGAACTGCAACCCGAATGGCCGGAGAGGAACGTGGGATGCCGTCTAGTTTAAATAGGAACGTCGGAAAAATCCTATGCCTCGTGGTATTCGAGGTAAATTACGAACTTCGTCTTGCCTAATTTAAATAGGTAATTGGGAAATTAAGAGCTGTTCTGTGGATGAAGATTGAAGAAGAAAGAGGCTTTGCTGAACTGCAACCGGAATAGCAGGTGAGGAACATGGGATGCCGTCTAGTTTAAGTGGGATGCCGTCTATTTTAAGTAGGAACGTCGGAAAAATCCTATTCCTATGCCTAAGTAGGAACGTTGGAAAAATCTTATTCCTATGCCTCGTGGTATTCGTCGGAAAAATCCTATTCCTATGCCTAGTGGTATTAGAGGGAAATTACAAGCTTCGTCTTGCCTAATTTAAATAGGTAATGGGAAATTAAGAGCTGTTCTGTGGATGAAGATTGAAGAAGAAAGAGGCTTTGCTGAACTGCAACCAGAATGGCAGGAGAGGAACGTGGGATGCTGTCTAGTTTAAGTAGGAACGTCGGGAAAATCCTATGCCTCGTGGTATTTTTGCTATGAAAAGGACAAATTTTGATGTGTATTTTAACTTGCTCTTTTAAATAAAATTTCATTGATATATATATATATATATATATATATATATATATATATATATATATATATATATATATATATATATATATAGTACGATGCTGGAGCCGTGATGTCTAATTTTAGTTTAACTCCAACAGGTATATAGTGTGTGTTTGATTTGAACAGGAGAATCATAATCATAATAGGAATGTGAATTAAATATTTGGTAATTGAAATGAATTTTGATGAAAGTATTTACATGTTTAGTAGTAGGGACGTAGGGTAAAATTGAAATAATTATCAATATTGGTTATGTTTGGTAAATCTAGGGTGTGTTTGGAAATTTGAAAAATGACTTTCGAAAAATGTTTTTTGAGTTTTCAGTGTTTGGCAAGAGGGGGAAAAATGAGGTCAATAGAAAATGATACATTAGTCAAAGAAAAATATGTATATTTTGGGGGAAAATGACTTCTCCTTTCTTTTTTGGAGAAGTCATTTTCCAAGAGGAGGTGCTTGCAAAATTTTTCGAACATAATTTTTTGCAGGTTATTGCGAGTCGGTCCACCAATCTCGCAGGATAGGGTTCATGCAACCAAAGCTCATGCGGGTTGACGGACCCCGCAGGCCGGTTCGCAGACTTTTTTTTTTTTTTTCAAAATTCAAAGTTCAAAAAAATAAAATTTATAAATAATATTAATTTTTTTGTGTTTAAAAATTTAAAAGAAAATTACATTTTTTAAAATGTTAATATATATATATATATATATATATATATATATATATATATATATATATATATACATATATCAAAAGAGTGCTATTCAAAAAAGGATTTTATCAAAAGTTTTAAACAATTAAAATTTTGAAGTATTCAATTCTTTTCATTTTCCTACTCATTTTCTGTAAAATGAACCAAACACACAAAGACAGTTTTCCGTTGTGTAGCCAAACACTAGAAAGGAAAATATTTTCTGGAAAATGACTCATTTTCCTGCTTTCCAAACGGAGCCATAGTTGAAAAGTTAGCTGAAAGAAGAAAAGTAGCTAAAACTGAAATGCTATGAGCTAGAAACTAAAAATTGAAAAGCACTTAAACTAACTAATTATATTTAAAAGTTAAGTGTAAAAAAGACTAAAAAGGACATTTATATAAAATTTAAATAGTTTTAATTTAAATATGTTTATTTATCTATTAAAATTGCTTATGCTTTAAAAGTGTTTGGTAAAATTAATTTTTTGATAAGCTGATAAGTGTAAAAAGACTAAAAATGATATTTATATAAAATGTAAATAGTTTTAAATTTAAATAGATTTTTTTACCTATTAAAGTTTAACATTTTGAAATGAAACCATATGATCTAGCATTTCATAATGAAGTAATAATATTGTTGCGAATCTCCTTCATTTCAATAGAGGTCTCACTTAAATTTTCGTTGATGGAGATATTACTACTTGAATCTTAAAGTTCATCCGACGATCTATAATTTAGATGTTTCTCAAACACATTAAACATCATGTCATCTTGTGAATTCTTTTGAATATTATTATGTAGTGTAAATGTAACCATAATAACATCAATTTGGGTCTCTATACTAAACTGTGACATTTGAAGGGAAGAATGTGCATGATCGAAACATATATATATATATATATATATATATATATATATATATATATATATATATATATATATATATATATATATATATATATATACACGTATATATATATACATATACATATATGTATATACACATATATATACGTGTATATATATATACATATACATATATATATACACACATATATATACGTGTATATATACACACACACACACACACACACACACATATATATATATATATATATATATATATATATATATATATATATATGCCATCCTCAAGAGAGCAACAGGGTTTGGGGTTAAAAAATTGTTGAAAGGGACAGTTGGTGCAAGCCACTTAGAGGATGGATACCAAGGGACATATAAGAACAAGAGGACTTGCAGCCTTTTCATCAGGAATGCAGCTGGGCAATTTTGTCTAGCAGGGACATATACCAAGGGCCTTGCTGATAGCCTAAGAAAGGTTTGGAAGGAGATTGCTCAGGATATTTGGGCTTGGTGCAGAAGAAAGAAGCTAGCTAGAGTGATCCTTGAAGGGGAGGAGGGTCAACTGATGGGATTAGATTTGAACCCTAATCAGGGGGAGGTGAAATATCTCACCTGCAGAGGTTGTGTCAACTGCATTGCCACTTGTTTAGCTAATAGATGTGAGGGAGAGAGTGTGATCTTCTTGAAGCCTGGTGGCTTGCCTCAAGGTTTCCAGTCGCTCTGGCCTTGGAGGGGTTGCCCCATTTCATCTTCCTGCCTGGTCAAGATCTTGCCTAAGGAGGGTTCTGAAGTCTGGTCTGATTTTTTTTTTTTTTTTTTTTTTTTTTTTTTTTTTTTTTTTTTTTTTTTTTGAAATCTGAAGCAGAAACCAGCTGTCCTTTATGTTGCTTTTTGGAGTGATGCAAACAGATGGGGGCCTTGGCTTATGATCTGAGACAGAGAGTTATATGCAGTCCTGAAGCTGAGGCAAGGTTTCAGATCTGATCATAGAACAGCCTTGTAAGTGTAGCTTGCCCTTTTGGTTAGTGGTTTGTGTGTTGGTTTTACTTGGCTTGCAGGTCTAAGCATCATGATTTATCCTGGTCACCAATGCTTATTTCATGAGGGAAAATGGGCTCCTTATGCAAGTGGTTTACATTAGCAAGGGGCATCATCTTGTGAAATAAGATTGGTCTCATGGCTATGTCCTAAGGGATGAGAATGGAAGGAAGTTTTGATTGTTTGAGCTTGACTAACCTGCTTTGTCCCTAGTGTGTCTCTTTAAAGAGGGCTGGCTGGGAGTGTGGATAGGTTGGAAAATATGTAACGAAAACAGATGAAAAAAGAGAGAAGAAACAATACTGAAACAGTGTGAAAACAATGGAAAATGTTAGGTTGGCTTGGTTGGGTTGGATTTGGTTGCCAATATATGTATGTATGTATATATATATATATATATATATATATATATATATATATATATATATATATACATACATATATATATTGGCAACCAAAAATATCACAACGAAATTTATTATCCTCATCGATTCTGTAGAAAAACCGCGATGAAACCATCGACCGTTGCCTTTGCTGTCACCGTTGTGGTGACATAACTTACTTTCGTCACAAAATGTGAGCGCCCAAATTTCACGGGGTTTTTCTCACTTTGCGCCAAAAATTGCTACGGAATTGACTTCGGTCACCATTTTCAATGCAAAATTGTGACAGAACACGTTCAGTAGCGAAAACCGTCGCGAATCGACAACAGATTACATTCCGTCACGATGTTTCCGTCGCGATTCGTGATTTTTAATGTAGTGTAAAATAATTATCATATAATAATTATCAATATTGATATTTGGTCATGTATGACCAGGGGCGGAACTATAGTGGAGGCAGTGGAGACAACTGCCCCCGTTTACCCCACCCCTACCCCATATATAACCCGTATATATATATATATATATATATATATATACTAGTTCTTTTACGCGCTTTGCGCGAATAAAATAATGCCCAATGATATATTATATCGGAGATGTTCATGCATAGGTAAATAAATATTGAATTTGTTTATTTAAATTGGTAATTTAAAGTATATAAATGCAAGATAATATATGAGAGATTGGTTATATTGTCACTAAAATAAATGTTTGCAACTTTGTAATAACGCTAGTCTAAATACTTAGTCTAAAAACGATAGTCTAAATAAATACTATTTGTGGTTTAAATTTCTCTAATTATTCTTAATTCTTTTTTTTTTTTGGGTAGCATTGTCATTGTCTTCATCTTCAGTACATGTCCTCTTTTTGTTTTTTTTTTTTTGTTTTTTTGTTTTTTTTTTTTATTGATAGTGTGTCATGTGCAATTGGATTACTGGTCGTAGCATAGATGGATTCATCGTGCAATGAGATTATAGTATAGGAAGCTTTAGATTTGCCTTGTTGTGTATATGATGAGATCTTTGTTGTACTATTAACTCTTTATCTTACAAGCACCTATTGATATTTGGTAGTGGTAGTTTTTCCCCTACATGTTTCATGCGTTGTGAGATGTTTATCGTAGGTTATCATGTGAAAGTATTGAACAAAATATTAATATTTATTATATTTGTATAAAATATTTATTATAGCTGTTTTAGTATCACTTATTCACTTCACTTATTTTTGCCACATTCTGTGTTTTCTTTCTTGAGATTCATGATATTGCTTGCTCATTAGTTTAACACTATATGATATCCATTATGATTCTCCTTAAGTATGTACCATTTTATTTATTTATCTTTAATTTTTTGAACTATGCTTTAATGTTCTTGTTTTCTTTCTACTGGTCCTTTAGTTTGTGTTCTCACAAGTCACAAGACATACCCTTCATTATGTAAATGTTTACATGTTTCTCCAGGAAATTGTTGGTACAGAATTAGTGGCAGTGCTACTAATTAAAAACAATATTCCTAGAAGGAAGGCATTAGAGTTATTGGAGTCTAAGGTTAAAAGTATACTTTCAGAAAAGGGCTATGTTAGCAAGATGGAAGAGTTTGTATCCAATGAACTGATACCAGATTTGTTGGAAGATGAAGATGAGGATGAAGAAGTTGTTGATGGTGAAGTCGATGAAGGTGATGTTCACATAAAGTCGGTTGGAAGGAAATCTATTCCCATGGTAGTAAATGTATATGTTGACTCAAAGTATTTTGTCAAAGTTATGTGCAAAAGGAATTCCAGTTCTATAAAGGAATACCAGTCCTACGAGGAATAGTTATTGAAGAATACTAGTTCTAAGGGGATTTGTTGTTGAAGATTTTCTAGTTCTATTTTGATTAGGAATAGCTTTGTTATTCACGAATCTGTTAGGAGTAGCTACTATAAATAGGGGTTATCCTTTATTGCAGATCTCACGCATTCAACATTAATCTTGCGAAGTATG